ATTTTCTGATATTATTTCATCATGCATCCCATGTGTATCTCCAYGCCTTCATCTACCTCAATAAATCTTAAATTTGGTCTTCTCATGTTATCCCATAATTCTTGGAAATTCTATTAATGGTTTCTTAACATCTTCTCTCCATGGTCAGCTCTGTTTTCAAGATTATATATTTTGTCTTCATTGCCTTAGGTTTTGTCTTCTAAGTGGTCTAGTCTCCTGGTGATGCTTTCTATTGATTTTTTTAGTTAGTTTTTTTTTTTTTTTTGTTGTTGTTGTTGTTTCCTTCATTTCAAGAATTTGGTTTTTTCTCCTCAGACTCTCTCTTTATTGATCTTATTCTAGCTGTATTTGCTGTCTTACATCATCCTTTGTTACAGAGATCAGTTTAACCATGTACATTCTAAACTCCTTATCTGACATTTCTTCCACTGTGGTGTCAATGGAATCTGTTATTGGAGTATCTTGGTTTGTTTGGGGCGATTTGTTCCCTTGCCTTTTCATATTGTTTTGTGTGTCTACCCATCGAACAGTATGGATCTGAGGCAGTAGAATTTATACCCTGTGGACTTACAGTGTTCCTGAAGGTTTCCAGTACCTCACTTTTGGAGAAGCTGCCTTTCTGCTTTTTTGGTTTCACATCAAGGAGCAGCCAGGAACATGACCACCTCTATTCTGCCATCTCGGATCTCCTTTTTTTTTAGTTTCTTATAGGGCAGTTGTAGTGGTACTAAACGCCCCAGCTTTTGTCTGGGAATATCTTAATTTCTCCCTCATCTTTGAAGGAMAGTTCAAAGATATAAAATTCTCAGTTGACAGTTTTTCCCCCTTTAAACAGCATTTTAAGCATACTATCCTGATGCTTTTGGCCTGCAAGCCTTTTGCTGATAAAAATCCATGACAGTTTTATTGAGGCCTCATGAATGATGAGTTACTTTTCTCTTGCTACTTTCATGATCTTTGCTTCTATCCTTTCTCAGGTCTTATGTGTATTGGTGTGAGTCTTTGGGTTATTCACAGAGTTCCCTTAGGTTTTGGGTTTGTATATTCATGCCTTTCTTCAAATTTGGTTAAGTTTTCAACCATTATTTTGTCATCAAATAGTTTCTCTGCTCCTTTCTCTCCTTATTCAGGGACCCCCATTAAGCATTTATTGGTTGTTTAATAGTGTCCCACAAGTCCCTTAGCTCTGTTCTCTTTTTCCTTTTGAATTTCAAATGACCTGTCTTCAAGTTAGTTAGTTCTTTCTTCTGCTTGAGTTTGCTTTTATAAACTATAATGATTTCCTGTTGTATCAGTTGTTATGTTTTCAGGCCAAGAATTTCAATTTTTTTTTTTTTTTACAATTTCTGTCTGTCTTTTTTGTCCATGTATTGATTTCCTGGTTTTCTTAATTCTTTGCATTTTCCTTTAATCTCTGAGCATAGTTAAGACAGTTGTTTGATCAGTCTTTTAAAAGTCTAGTATGCCTGATACTTAAGATAATATCTATATAATTATTTTGTTTATTTTTCCTACTTCTTTTTTTATTTTTAAAGAATTTTTAATATTTATTATTTAGTTTTTGGCGGACACAACATCTTTGTTTGTATGTGGTGCTGAGGATCGAACCCAGGCCGCACGCATGCCAGGCAAGCGTGCTACTGCTTGAGCCACAACCGCAGCCCCTTTCCTACTTCTTTATAATCCTTATGACATTTTATTAAAAACTGGGCACTTGAAAAAATAGCCCCTCTCCCAGTCTTTGTAGACTGCAAGACCTTTGCTAGTTCATGGGACCATGAGCCCTTAAGATTAGTTCAGGATTTCCCAGGTCTTTTGTGGGCATGTTTCCTCTTTCTGGRTGTTTGTTTTAGCAACTTGGTTTGCTTTGGACAAATGGTCTTGATTTCCTCTGGGTGGTCATCCAAATCCCAGTTTGGTTCTCAAAGCTTTTGCTTTGTTGATTTGTGTGTCTCATTCCTCAAYGTAAGATTTGGACTGGTTCATACAGAGAACTGGGGGAAGTTCCTTCTCTTTGCTCCGTGACTCTCTTCTTTCACTCTTGAGCTCCCAAGGAGTTCTTTTCTTGGCCAGAAAGTTGTTTTTGTTTCCCTCAATTTCTGCTTAGTTGGCCATACCATGGTTACCATAGTTCCACTTCACAATGAGGTTCTGCCTTGGATGTAGCATTCTCATGCTCAGGAGAAAACTCAGCCAACTATTTACTTCCTACAATCTGGGAAGATCATCTCTATGCAGTGGCTTTTCTGTATTTTGATGCTTTTCACAATCCACTTACTTTTGCTTAATCTCAGTATCCCTAAGTAGTCATTTTCCGTATTTTTCCCAGGTTTAGTTGTAATTAGCGGGCAGATAATAGTTAACACATACTGTCATAGTGGTATTGGAACTCTGCCTGGGTTTTTAATTTTTTCACTGGTATATGAAAACATAAAATTGTACATATTAATGGGATAATGTCATGTTTCATCACAATGAATATATTGTATAATGTTTACATAGGCTTAAACATATTCTATCTTTTTTCTGGGTTTTGTCTGCATAATTGGTATTTACTGGGAGTTTACCTCAGAAAGTATGTTAGTTAGCTTTTCATCATTGTGACACGGTACCTGAGAAAATCARCACAGAGAAGGAAAGATTTATTTGGGGTCACTGTTTCAGAGGTTTCAGTCTAAGGTTGACTGGTTCCACTGCTTGAGGGCTTGAAGCAAGGCATAAAGAATATCAAGGTGATGGGAGCATGTGGCAGTGGAGGTTGCTCATCTCATGGCACTCAGGAAGCAAAGAGACAGGAATGAGCTGAGGACAATACTTGCCTTTCTAGGCATGCCCAAAGTGACTTGCTTCCTTCAACCAAGCTCCACCTTGTGGAGTTTCCATCGCCTCCCAATAATGCCATCAAACTATCCATCAACGGATAAATCCACTGATGGGGTCAGAGCCCTCATGATCTAATCACATTCCCAATTTTAAGGTAACCCCATCTCTAAAAACTGCTATGTTGGGGACTAAGCCTTCAACACATCAGTCTCTGGGGGGCTTTCCAGATCCAAGCCATCTCTTCAATCTCTAGGTCTTAAGATCGCCAATTATAAAAGCAACAGTGCTTACCTCATGTTAGATTTCTGGCATCCTTTTTTTTTTTTTGGTAGGGGATGATTAAATATAATGATGAGCATTAAGCACTAGTAAGTGCCCAACACAGACATAAATGGTTATTTCTAGTCATATATTTTCTATAGGACTGGACATTTTAAATACGATTAGTGGAACAAAAAAGAGAAATTAGAAATAMAAAGTTACAGGTTTGGTGGGTTATTTACCTGGAAGCTGATTCTGGAAGGAAAGGTCAAAAAGGAAAAAAAAAAGGTATTTAAAAAAGCAAAATATTCCATGCCAATTTTGTAGCCCTTGGAACTGCATCTCCAGTCCTTGTCAGGTCTCTCTTATAAAATACCACATTGAACAARAATGAGGGCTCCATACCAATAAGGAGCACTGCTCTCCAATGAAACAACCCGTTTCCCCTCCATGCCTCTTTATTAAATTGGGGGGAAAAAAAGAAACTAAGATTCTTATTTGTTTTCTAGTAACTTGCTCCTTGCATTTGCTCCCTTGCTAGATGGTTGAAAAAGGACATGCAACCCACCGAGGATCTCAAGTCAGTAATTCAAAGGATGTCAATGTTCGGCCCGATTCAGTCAGTCACCACGTGTGGACGTCAAAGTGCTGTAGTGGTGTTCAAGAATGTAACTTCAGCGTGTAAAGCCGTGAACGCTTTCCAAAGCAGGATCCCAGGCACAATGTTCCACTGTTCCTGGCAGCATCGATTCATGTCAAAAGATGTAAGACTTTCTAGTTCCAATAACCTACGTGAATTCTTAAAGCTTGTTTCATAAGTTTTTATTCATTAGGGCTGTAAGTAAAATATTCTCATCATAATTGACATACAGCACTGGAAAAAGGCCCAGTGAAGTTTATTTAGTTAAAATCAGCACTAACCGCATAACCTTCCTTTGATGGTCTTAACTCTTCTCTAAGTGGCTGTCACAGTTTTGATTTTCTGGATACAAAGTTCATGAGAGCATTCATGCATTCCTCTGACAGCCATCTTCCCTGGAGGACAGTGCTTTCTTCAGCATTAACGGCATGTAGCTTTTCTTTCTCATTACTTCTGATCAACTCCTTTGAAATCCTCAAGGACTGATAAAACAAAACCAACAGGAAGGTTAAGAGTTCTTCTAACAGCAGTGGGATATTCAGTAATTCTGGTTCTTATTTCTCCCATGTTCACTTAACCAATCCTGTAAGACACATGTGTAATAATAAGACAGTGCTTCTCAACCTTTTATGTGCATATGAATCACCTTTGTAATTCTGGGGCAGGTCTATGATTATGTTTTCAAAAAGTTCCAGATGAATGCTAAAACTTCTGATTCCAGGATCACATTTTGAATAGCAAGAATAAAAGAGCAGTCAGTCATTTAACTACCCCATATAAAAAAAAGTAACAATCTCCTTATTGTGAAACCTCTCTGGTTTTTCATCTGAATTCCAAAGTAAAAAAACTCAGAAACTACTGCTTATAATCTAAAGTTATCTCCACAAAGAATTGCCCCTTGGCCCTGTACCATAGGAACGAAATATCTATTTCATAAGTTTTATAAAAATCAGTATTTCCAACATCATTAGTTATTTTTTTAAAGATTTTTTTTGTAGTTATAGATGGACATCATGCCTTTATTTTATTTGTTTATTTTTATGTGGTGGCAAGGATGGAAACCAGTGCCTCATACATGCTAGGCAAGACCTCTGCCACTGAGCTACAGCTCCAGCACTAACAGTAATCATTTTTAACCTCAAATTTAGATGTGCTTAAAATCAACTAAAGATAATGTCTTTTCTTTAAGATTTATTCCCTTAAGGTTTACACATTTTTCCCCTGGGGAAATTATTTTCAAGGTTTCTATAAGTAAAAGGTGAAGACTTACATTTGTGGGGAGCTTTGCATATGCTTTCAGCCTGGTCCAAACTTCTTTCTGGAAAGTGCTTTCAGGAAAAACTTCTGTAACGAGGCCTCGAGCACATGCCTCTCCTGCTGTTAACTTCTTCCCAAAAATAAGCATCTCAGCTGCCTGAAATAAAAAGCAAAGTTAAGATACTACCTTAATAAAAACAAAATTTAAGTTAACTGCAGAACTGACTGCTTTCAGAAGGCAAAGATTTGTTCATGGTCTTTTAAAGTTGCTTATATTCTCAATGAGGGAGAAGCTAATGACCTCAATGGGGCAACAGTTTGCAAACTGTGTGTGGAGACCACTGCAGGCTTCCATCTCTGTAAGGGCTAGATGGGCAACCATTTCTGTCCACCCAGGTTTGAAGAGGTAAGAACGGGCAAAGGCAGAAAGGACCTGAACCACGGCAGCTGAGCTAATGCTTTATAAACTATAATGATTACAAAAAAGGGTTAAATAACAACAACTCACAGTTATTGGGTCAAATGCTAGACATTTTCAAAATTCCATTACCTTGTGGTTTAGCTCTGATAAACCTGGTTTAGCTTTGACAGTTTTCTTTACCTATGTAGGCACTCAAATTATTCTACTTGACTTAAAGAAAGTAAAGATGACTCAAATTGCATTTCTTAAAAAAAAAATAAAAAGCCCATGAGATGATTAAGTGGATGTCCTTTCTCTGTTTGCAATTTGTCTTCCAGAAAAGCAAACACTATTCCAAGTGCTCTAAGCCTTCAAGTTGGTTCTGCTCCACTTTCCAAACCTGTATAATGATTTGGGGTATATGACAGCAAAATGAGATTAAAAGAAGAAATATTTTCATCAAAAACCTAGCAGCCAATGAATAGGCACAATCTCACCCCCGGCCTCTGAGATCAGGAAGCATGTTGGCTAAGCCTTTCCCTATGCCACGCTCTCCAGCTGTGTCACAATCCCTGGAGTCATGTACCAAGCATGGGTAACTAGGTTTCCATAACCACAGGGAAAGACCTGAGCAGCCACTTGGGAGTGGCTTGGGAGTCTCTTAATATCTTTCAAAACAGGCTGACGGAAAGGCTGTTGCTATTGGGAGTCACTTTGGAAACCTCCACGAAGCCCCACGTTTCCTAGTATTTCATATGACTCTGAAAGTGAAGATGCTGGTGAACCATGTTCAGTGGATGTGGCTCATCCATTTAGTAACTAAGTGGCCCTCAGCTGAGCAGACCTAGGGGGCTGGGCACAGTCCTTGTCCTCCCACTATGCCACAGCTGTGGAGAAYCAGATCTTGTGCTGCTTGCAATCGAGATAGCATCAGGCTACTGGCTGAAAGGAGTGACCCAGTTTGGGAAGTTGCAGAAAATTTCCAATTTTCTTTAAGACCAGACACTTCCTAAAGCTTGGTTCCTCYACTTGTAAAACCCTTAGAGTTGGAGGTCAAATAGTTTCTATCTCTTTTGTACGTATCAGTAAGGGAAAGAAGAGAGAGTATGGGGTTATATTTGGAAGAGGAATGAAACATTAAACATTACTTTTAAGCTTCCCAGAAGTTACCTTGGCGGGGCCCATTATCTTCGGAAAAGTGTAAGAGGCACATCCCTCTGGGCTTTGGCCAAGTTCACTAAACGGAGTGTGAAATGTTGCCTATTTGGGGGGGGAAGAAAAGAAAACCATTTTTAAAAAATCACCACTTAATCATAATTTCAAAATGCTTAACAAAAAAAAATGTAGATTAGGATTATGCAGTGTGAAATCCACTCTTTTCAAGTCTTTATTCAATGACATAGTATATTTTTATCATGGCCTTTGGTGGTCAATCCCTTCCTTCTTGCCATCCCTGTGCAATCACTAATTGGCTCTCTGTCCCTGTAGTCTGGCTTTTCTAGCATGCTACATAAATGGAATCCTATGTTCCAAAGCCTTTGAGTCTCACTTCTGTCCCCTGGTCTAAAGCTTCTGGGAATCACCACACTGTTGCATATTAGCCTGCTTCTTGTTACTGTTGAATAGAAAGCCACTGTATGGATAATTTGTATAACTTGCTTACCCATTTGCCATTGGAAATGCCACTGGTATTGTTTCCAGTACTTTGTGCACAAAACTGTTCAGAAAAATATCAATTTGTTTTGATATACACAATTTCTATTTGTCAATTACTCCTCAATGAAGCTGAAGAAAAATTAAATATTTTTCAGATAATTCTAACAAAATAAGGTTGTTGTGAAAAGGTAGCTCTGGGTAAACATGTTTTCAGTACTTGTTGGTGAAGACCCACCAGTGTAATTGCTGGGTTACGCTGAACTTAAGAGAATAGCAGAGTCTGGACACTACTACCAGCCCCATTTGCTCCACCTCCTCACTATACTTTATTATCAAAAGTCCTTTTAATTTTAACCATATTTATGGGTGTGGAGCAGTCTCACCTTGTCCTAGTTTACATGTCGCTAATGATCATTGATGTTGAGCATCTTTTCATGTACTTATTAGTCATGTTCACATCTTTGGTGAAGAACTGCTTACGTATTTTTCTTGGTGTTTTTAAAGTTAGACTCTTAACCTTCTTTTTATTGAYTTGTAAGTTGTCTTTTATATTCAGGTTATGAGTCTTACTGTAAATCTCATGCAAATAATAATATTCTGGTGTGGATTATCTCTCCATTTTCTTTTTTTTTTTAATTTATTTTTTAGTTGTAGTTGGACACAACACAATACCTTTATTTTAATGTGGTGCTGAGGCTTGAACCCAAGGCCTCAYGCGTGCTAGGTGAACACTCTACCACTGAGCCACAACCCCAGCCCTCTCTCTCCATTTTCATAATGGGTGTTTCTCATATAGTTTCAAAAGTCATTTACTTTCTTTTCTGTGAAGGATTTATTCCTCTCTACTGCCCATTTTTATATTAGGTTGGTAATCTATATAGATATCTTAAAATATTAAGAGAGATTAGCCTGTTATGTGGGTTGAAAAATTGTTTCAATTTTCCCAATCTTTCATTTGTCTTGGTGACTTAAGAGTTTTTAATTCAACCCCCACCCCTGACTGGTGTTAGATACTAAATCAATCTTGATATTGCTTATTTGGAATATAAACATTTTTAATATTTTTCTAGATTTACTATTTTAAAATATTAAGTATTTTTCTATGTTCTTGATGACCAATAAATCTTTATGAAGGAGAATTAATTTATAACTGATAAGATATAAAAGAATATYTAGATTTTACTTCCTATAGTCAAACATGGTCTTTTTTAATGCATATTTCTCAGAAGATAYAAATGTATAATGTATGCAACATATAAAGAAAAATATAAAAGAACATATCATTCATTAATATCATTCATCTTTTTCTCCCCTCATAAAGAAATATTATTCCAAGAATAAGTGAGGCTGGGTACAGGTACAGGCCTATAATCCTAGTGATTTGGGAGGCTGAGGCAGGAGGATCACCAGTCTGAGGCCAGCCTAAGCAACTTTTAGAGAGGCCCCAAGCAACTCAGCAAGACCCTGTCTCTAAATAAAATGTTAAAAAAGGCTGGGGATGTGGCTCAGTGGTTAAGTGCCCCTGGGTTCAATCTCTGGTACAAAAAAGAAAAAACAGTGAGTACAAAAATATCACCTGAAAACTGAATGAAAATACCAACCAGACCTAAGGGGCCACAGACACATACAAACAAACTGATGATCAGCAGAAATTAGAATGTTTATATGATAAAGCAGCAGACGTAGTTAGGGTGTAAACTCTGGCATCAGACCGCTTGGTGCCTTTGGGATAGTCCCTTCCCCTTTCTGTGCCAGTTTCCCATCTGTAAAATGGGTATGAAAGTAACTATCTCACCGGGCTGTTGGTGGAATATGTGAACGTGTGCGTGTGTGATGTGCACTAACAGAGTGCCTAGTACACAGTGAGCACTCAGATCCTTACTATTA